TAAGTATATTAGCGTAATAAGGTGATATTAATAAAATAGAAAAATACGTTCCGCTGTATGTATAACACAATTGTAAATATATCGGTTAATGAAAATTTAAAGGCAGACATTACATTGAAAACTTTGATACACGATCCATTGTTGTGTGGTTTCATGCTGCCGGAAGTTTAGAATATAGAATTACGTATTTTGCTTTATGAAACATTCCTCTCGGAAAGAAGAACATAGCAATTAAGAGAATGTTTTAGACGTATATACTTTGTAAGTCGCTTCCAATTTATGCTTGCGAAAATACGACATAAATCGTGAAGACATTTTTATATTTGCGCAATTTTTAATTAGAATCTCAAGTGGATGTAGAGATCCTTCTCTATTAAGGATTTCAGTAGCAATAAATAAATAAGAAAGAAAACTGCAAAAACGAGTACGTAGTTGTATTAATTATTATTATTAAATATATTTAATTTATTCTTGCAAACTATTTGAAAGCACTTTTTCGTTCAATCTACAATATTTTGTGAAAGGAAGAAACGTTACGAGCATGAAGTCGAAGCGATGACATGGTAATGAAATAAATCGGGTATAAATCGGGCAGTGTAAAGCGTCATGACCAGCCAAAAGATTACTGGCGCACGGTGATCTGTTTTCTAGATTTCCATCGAGTATAGAACAGAACGCGAGGCAACGGAACAGGAGACAGAGAAAGTGCATGGTGAGCACTTGGTGCGGGAGGTGCGGAAGGAAGGATATTGATCGACGGTAGGAGTGCGCGCATGGGAGATCCTCTCTGTCCCACCCTGCGGCCTGCATCCACCTAGGTGGCTGACGATGGAATGTGTATCGTGTCAGTTGGTACTTTAGGATCCACACCACACCACGATCACAAACGGTCCGACAAATCGGGTGTCGGGGATCGGGTGTCGTTGGTCGGTGCTCTGCGCCAAGGGTGTGTCGTGCCGTGGACACTGCGAACCTCGATGAGAGGACGACAAACTACGCCGGTCCAAATATTCAAGGACCGGTCGGCGTAACAGGAAGTAGAAGGGACACGCGACGAATCCATTCATTACTGGTGATTTCACGAAGCCTCCACCACCGTACATGACAGACTTGTGCGCTCAAATGTGAAACAGTCAAATAGGCACGTTCTGCATGTGTTATCATCGTTCGCGAGAGTGTGTACATGTAGTTTATTGGCATTGATTGGGAGACAGTAGACACGCGAAGCGAAACCACGGTACACACACACTACCTACTCTCTCTCTCATCTGTTTTCTTCCCTCTTTTTTGCCTTAATCGACACCACATTGACACTAATATCGCCAGTCAATTGTCATTAGTGTTAATTGAATAAATAAAGGGAGAAAGAACGAGAGAGAGAGAGAGA